TTGTGATGTATGGGTCCCACTAATAAAATATAAAAAGATGAAGGTTATAATTGAAAAACTGTATCTTTTGCCGTTTCCTTTCCTCTGTCTTCAACACCTCTAAGATCATAAATTTTATTAGATTAGATGTTAAATTAGTTATTGTCAGAGTTCGACTCTTGCCGTCATTCTTTTCTCTAATTGAGCTCTTAAAGTATTTTTGTATAAAACTATAAGCATATTATACATTAGAATAGATAGTTGATAGGTCTAATTGTAAACGAAAAATTGTCAGAGTTCGTCCTGATAGGGTAGTTGGAAAGTAGCCTATGTGGTGAAAAAAACTAGAATTTAAGCCCCTGTGGTTAAGTTTGTTAGGATTTATGCCCAAAATTAAAAATTTTGTCAACTTTCTGTTAATTATTAGCACGTGCCGCACATATTAGACTAAAACGGAACTCTCCATACACATATTAAGCTAAAACAGACGTGCTAATAATTAACAGAAAGTTTACGGAATTTTCAATTTTGGGCATAAATCGTAACAAACTTTACCACAAAGATTTAAATCCTAGTTTTTTTTTTTTACTACAGAAACTATCTTCCAACTGCCATATCACCACGAAAACTATTAATCAAATTAAGCCTAGTTGATATTTCCAACAAAAAGAGAGATGATTTTATTAATCAACATCGAAGGTTTGCATATTCTATGCAGGCATAAGGGAATTATACTGTAGTCTCTTCACAAAAAATCTCAGCTCTATCATTTTTCGTTTACCTATAATTCACATGAACGAGATCAATTTATTAGGGGATACATGATACACGTAAATGAGATAAATTCATAAGTGCATTAAACATGACATAGCCATTGTACAATTTAAATTTAAGAAAAGAAAATTATACTTACAAGACATGAAAATTTTATTAATTAACGTTGAAATTTTTGTGCATATTCTATGAAAAAAAAAAATAAGGAAATTATACTATCATCCCCTCATAAGAAATTCTTAACTTTGTCATTTTTTGTGAATTCGTGATACACTCTAAATGGGATGGATTCTTTAATAAACTTTTGATACACATAACTGAGACATATTAATAAGTTTATTAAAAATGATGAAGCTCACGTGAATAGGCTAGAATACCATTTTTTTGTGTTTTCATAGCATATGCACACAAAATTAATGTTGAAAAATAAGTTTTTATTTTTTTTTATGTATATAAGTATAATATTTTTTTTTTCATCTTCTAGTACAAGTTTTGTACATATTCTACAATTTCATAAATATATATATATATATATATATATATATATATATATATATATATATATATAAAGAACTAGCATTAAGCGTATGAATTTTTTTTTTTTGTCCCAACATTTAAGCCTATGAATTCATTCACAATATAATAAAAAACATTGCCTGATAAATATAGATTAATATTAGCCAGAACAAATGTACTTTCTCTTAACACCCATTTTTGTGCATATTCTACAAAAATATAAGAAATTTATACTATGGTTTTCTCATAAGAAATTCCCAGCTTTGTAATTTATAGCTAACCCATTATTCACGCACAACGAGTTCAATTTATCAATGGACGTCCGATACACATAAATAAGATTTGACAACCCATGTGAGCAGAGAAGCATATAGTTTTCTTTTGTTTTCATCGCATGTGCACAAAAAAGTATTGGTATAGGGAATGCTACCCCAATCTCAAAATCAAGGCATACTACAAGATTATTTAAGGACTTAAAGAGGGGTCTTAGTTTTATTTTTATTTTTTTAACAAATCATTCACCAAAAATGATTGCTGACAACGAAATTCAAACCAAACGCTTGATCTAGCAAAGAAAGCGATCACTATAAACCCCTAAAATTAGAACATTGCGACCATAAATAATTAATTGAAATTTAGAGAACGGAAAATGCTATAGAGACTCACTCAAAAATTGAAATTTAAATAACAATTAAACTTAACATTTTCTGTCTTTCCTCTACCCATAGGAACCCAGAAGCAAAGTGCTTCTCAAAATTCCAGTCGTTCATGCCTCTCCGACCTGAAATTGGTAACCGTGGCTAAAAGTCGCAAACACAATATGAAAAACTTCCCTAAAGCCCAGATCTGAATCCTATAACCAGAAAGAAAAAGAGAATTTTAATAAAACACTTTCGATAATGTTCACTTTTATCAAAAATGATATTTTTATCTTGAAAAATCACTCTGGTACTATTCACTTGCACTTTTATTTTGTTATTTTAATTAAAACTAAAGTTTTTTCAGAATTTTTCGTTAGTTTTCCTAAAAAAAAAAAAGTGAAGTTTGAATCGTAACAAAAAAGTTCAAAATTTGCTTCACCTTGTCTCTTAGAATTTGATTTTTTTTTATTTATTGCATTGTGCTTCTTGAAATTTAAAAATGGTCATTTTCCTCTATAAAACACAAAATCTGCCTTACATTGTCTTAATTCTGTTAATTCTATTACGTGAAATGTTAATGCATGGTGTAATTTATTTAATTTTTCTTTTGATTTCGTTATTTAACCCTATGAAACTCGATTTTATTAAAAAGAATTATTTATTGAATATTAACACATAATAGAGATTTATAATCTAATTCAATAGTACATATAACATAATCTTATTGAGAGGTTGGTCCCTGTATATTTTCCGAGGTGACTATTGATTTTCAAGAAGAATGAAAATTTACAAGTCAAAATAGAACAAATTTTGAATTTTAAAAAGTAAGCGATGATTTTTAAGTTGTACAGAACAAAACAAGATCAAAATCTAAGCTAGTTGCGCGTTTGTTCAACATTTTGCTTTTTCTTTACCATTTCTTCGAAAGTCGTTTTGGAATCGTGAAAAGAAAAAAGGCCGAACGGCAGGTGCAGCGTTATTTCAACCTTTTGTATTCTCTGCATTATTCAACACGCTTTCATTTACTTTACTCCGCCTTGCATTGACGCGGATTGCAGGACGTTTCCAAGAAACGATACGGTAGAATAATTGAAGGCCTTCAGCTTTTTGGCAACCCTTTATTTACTTTACTCCGCCTTGCATTGACGCGGATTGCAGGACGTTTCCAAGAAACGATACGGTAGAATACTTGAAGGCCTTCAGCTTTTTGGCAACCCTTTTGTACGGATGTATCTTTGCTCAACATCTTCAAGTGATGCTACGGAGACTCGCTCATAAACCAGGTCTCCAAAAGGCACGGTGCTTTTCTCTCCAGAACTTCCTTCCTCTGTGTCTTGCTCACCCCCACCCTTTCTCCTCCCCACTCTCTCCCCTCTCCGATGAAACCCAGAAGGCACTCTGCTTTTCTGCACAGGAGGATCGGTGAAGAAGATGGATAAGGAAGGATGAAGTTTCGAGGGACCCGTCTGCAGGTGGAAAGACGGAGAGAGGATTTTTAGTTTTTTAATGATTTTAATAGTGGGGAGGTTGAAACGGATTTTGAATTCCATCTGAATTTGTGAGGATTTCAAAAATCACGTACATGGTCAGATATTATTTTAAATTTTTATTAAAATTAAATACAGACAGAAAGTCCTACCAAATGACACGACAACTCCAACAAACGCACTAGAACTATTAAATATGTTTGATTATTATTTTCAAATGCTTGATTTTTATTTAATTTAAAGTATGGAGAGGGAAGGCTGTCCCATTCCAAGTAAATGGCATATTACAACGATTTTTTGAAGATTTATAAAGGGGTATATTACACGTTTCTTTGGAATTTTACAGATCATTTACTAAAATGATTTTGTTTTTTTGTCAAACGATAAATTTATTAGATTAGGAAGCCAACGGAATTCGAATCCATTTTGTTGTATACGAACAAAACTCATCTTCATCACTGTAGTAGAGACCACTTTTTTCACCAAGAAAAATTGTTGGATGCGAAATTCAAACTTATATTTTAATCTAATAAACGTAGACGAATATACTTTTCCTTAACACCCATTTTTGTGCATATTCTATGAAAATGCAAGAAAATTCTACTATGGTCTTTTCACAAGAAATTCCTAACGTTGTCATTTATCATTAACCCATTATTCACGCAATTGAGTTTAATTGAGTGTTTGTTCAACATTTTGTTTTTTCTTTACCATTTCTCCGAACCGCTCTGGAATCATGAAAAGAGAAAAGACCAAATGGTGGTTGCGTGCTATTTCAACTTTTTGTTTTCTCTGCCCCTTTCAACACGCTTTCATTTATTACGATTTGATAGTATTACTCTACATTTTAAATATTTATTTAATTTAAACTATAAAGAAGGGAGGCTACCGTATATTACAAGTTTTTTTTTGAGAACTTGTAGATGGGGTTTTAGCATCTTTTTGGATTTTACAAATCGTTCAACAAGAATAATTGCAAGTTGCAAAATTCGAACTTAGATATTGGTCTAGCGAAGAAAACGATCATTATTAACTTTCAAAATTAGAATAACGCGTCTAATAGTTAATTGAAATTTATAAAATTATTTACATAAAATGAGTGTAACAAAGATGAGAATACTTTGTTGGATGTGTAGGCGCATGAGAAATGATAAGATTGGTAATGAGGATATTCAAGGTAAAGTAGGGGTAGTCGAAATTGAAGAAAAGATGAGAGAAAATCAGTTACGGTGATTTGGACATATGAAACGAAGGTCTACTGATACTCCGGTTAAAAGATGCGATTATGAAACAGAGTTTCAGGGTCGAAGAAGTAAAGAAAAACTTTGGAAAAGACTATAAGATAAGATTTAGAGTACTTAAATATAACGAAAGACGTAATACATAATCGAGCATAATTGAGTTTTAGAATTCATATAATCGATCACACTTAGTAATAATTTTTTTCTATTGTTGTTGTTGTAGTTGCGTGTTACATCAACTTTTTGTTTTCTCCCTACAATTTCTTCGAAGTTGGGAAATGGAATGGAATCAAACAAAGGAAAAAGGCCAAGTCTTTGTTTACTTTGTTTAGGTAGCCCACGAGGGCCACTACCCCTTTATTATTCTTATTATTGGTGTTGGTAGTTGTGGTTGTTGTCAGATCGCATTTCAAATGAATCTATACGTTTTCTTTTACTTTCTCCGGCGTGTGCGTGGGCTCAGATGCCAAGGAAGTCTTTGAACCAGCGCATACGTAACCATTTCATGCAATTTACCGTAAATTCTGTCTCTTTTTATACAATTTACTGTACAATTCCCTGTCGCCTTCGTATCTCGTTCGTTTAGTTATATATAAACTTGTGCTAACAATATTATTTCATCAGCCAAGAAGAGATTCCGTAAGAGAAAATAAAGTTTTGAGTCGTTTTATTTTCTTAAATATGTCTGTGGCTTCAGTCGGCATGGGTACCCTGAGAACGGCATTTCAAATGCTGTTTGATGCTGTAAAATCAGTGCAGGAGGAGACTACTATGTTCAAGCGCCTCCTTGGAGACATCAAATCCACACTGGAATCTCTACAGCCAGTCATCCAAGAGATTGAAAAATATAACTCGAAAGAGCGACTGAAATATTTTGCAGTACAAATGGAGAAGGGAGCAGATCTTGTTCAAAAGTGCAGCAAAGTTGGCGTGTGGGGAAAATGCAAATACGCCAAGAAGCTCCATCAACTGGAAAAATCTCTTCGAAGAGTGTTTGATGCGCTCAAACTGCAGGGCGTAAGGGATGCGAGGGAGGCGTTGATTTCTCTCAGGAATATCGAGACGGCGTTCTCTCGAATAGAAAAGAATTTGGTGATGAAAAGAAATCAACCTGAAACGGTTAAATGTTCGCCTGCGGTGCCTGAACCCCCATCCGTTACAGTCGGGTTGGATTTGCCGTTGAAGGAGTTGAAGATGAAGCTCCTTAAGGATGAAAAGGTGTCGATGCTTGTGCTGACTGCTGCTGGGGGATGTGGGAAAACAACCTTGGCTAAAAAATTTTGTCAAGATCAAGAAGTCAAAGGTATGCTATCAATGATTTCAAATTCTTTTTTTTTTTTTTTTTTTTTTGGGAAGTGTTAACTTCCTATATAGTTAAAAAAATTATGCAAATAACGCAATATTCATTTTTATTGATAAATGAGGGGTTTTAAGTTTGATTCTTACCACAAGCGAATTTGAACTACATTATTACTAATTTATTATGAGGTTAAACCCACCCCTTAGTTTAGATAGATCAAAAAAAAAAAAATAAATAAAATAAAACATATAGAGGATTAGACGAGCAAAAGTATGCACTATGGCCAAGACCCCCCTATAAAACGCCCGCTAGTCCCTCCAAGTTTCCACACCAACCCAGATTTGTAAAAGAGAATACAATGTACAACGAAGGGAACATGAAACTAAACCGTGTGAAAGCATAGAGCCGGTCCTTAAGGTACCGTTTGGTATGTGGGACGGGATGGAACAAAGTGGGACAAGGCGTTCCGTCCTGCGTTTGGTGCGCCTAAAACAGGTGGAACGAGCTGTTCCACGGGACGAGTTTTGGATGAATTTTCGTTCCATCTCATCCCCCTGAAACGACTCGTTCCACATTCGTGGAACACAAAATTATAACCTCTCCGTCTCCTTCTTCTTCCTCCTTGTTTCCATCCGAGGACATCTTTGCTCCCGCTCCATTCCGTTCCATCCCGTCCCATGTAGACGGGACGGGACGGGACGGGACGGGACGAAATGGGATGAGACGAGACGGGACGGGACTGGACGGAACGGAACGGAGCGGGAGCAAAGATGCCCTCGGATGGAAACAATGAGGAAGAAGAAGGAGACGAAGAGGTTATAATTTTGTGTTCCACGGATGTGGAACGAGTCGTTCCAGGGGGTGAGGTGGAATGAAAATTCACCCAAAACTCGTCAACAACTCGTTCCACCCGTTTTAGGCGCACCAAACATGGGACGGAATGTCTTGTCCCACTCTGTTCCGTCCCGTCCCACGTACCAAACGGTACCAAGGTAGTCCGTGCAGGCGCAGCCTAGGGCCCCACTTTGGAAGGATCCCTAAAAATTTTATATTTCATGTAAATAACATATAAAGAAAAAGTAAAAAAAATATCATAATTCATTTGTTAGTGTAGTAATTTTTTTTTTTTTTCAATTTCCCATCTCTTCATTTCTATAAAATGTTTAAATCAACTATCACATAGTCTTGAAGATTGTATTTTAAAATAATAAAAACTTGGAATTTATATTTTGGTTTTCAATAATTTATTATTCAATGAAGTATTTCAATATCCGATTCATTAGTATGATGTTGTAGTAAAAACAAAAGAGAAACAATTGACGTTGTTGAATTTATTATACTTGTCAATCAAGTTATATTGTTCTTTACTCTCCTGATCATCAAATTTTATTATTCTTTAATGTCAATCTTAGACTCTTGACTGCAAACATTTAGTATATTTGCGTCTAAAAATGAGAGACGGGTAATATTTAAATAATGTTTGTATATCTATCTTCTTTTGATATTAATTTTTAGGGGCTTTTAAATCCAGGTCCAAAAACATAGATGGTTGTTAGGAGTGAAACAGTTATCTAATTACATGCTTTTATTTTTTATACTCATTTTATATTAATATCTTCAAACAAAAAAAACTAACATACTAACATAAATATATCTGATAAACATTGTACCTTAACTTAAGTAACAAATATATGCAGAGTGTTGATATTCTCCCCCGGTGTCTTATTTCCTTACCCACCATTTAATAAAAATGTTAATGACATGTTTAACCTTTTAAACGAAGACTTTTAAACCCTATTTACTTAATTACTAAATATTCAAAAAAACATAATTTAAAAATATTAAATAATTGTGGATGGGATGTGATATCTGTAGTGGAGAGAGGTAGGTGGGATTATCATGTGGGGTGGGAAAGGAGGACATTGGGGTGGGGCTAGTAGGACACTGGTTGGGATTGTCCTTTTTTTGAATGTATATTATACTTATAAGCTAGATATGAAACCTAACTAAAAGGTTTTTTAAAAAAAATATACATACAAGTAAGACACATTAGTTTGTGATAGGTTGATTATAAAAAAGAATTTTTCATATAGGTAAATAAATATAATTAACCTGTGATATAGGTTGGTTATAAAAATTAAAAATAAAATTTATAAATGGGGTTTAAAGTAGAAGGAAAAACAAGAAATAACAAAAAGAGAATAAAAAGAAATAATCAAAGAGATAATTGGGAAGAAATTTGGTTTTTATAATAAATCTTAAATTATTGATAATTAAATAATTAAATATAAGGAATTGGACTTATTTTAATAAATTGGACTAATCCTGCTATTGGCTAAAAAAATTGGATTTATATCAAGTTTCCCTGACTTTTAATGATATTTGATGTAGAAATATATTTTTTATGTATTTAGCGAATTCTTTTTTGTACATATCAAGAATCGGGGGCCAAAGAACTTTAGGGTCCTACTTTGAAGGCTCGTCTAAGGCCCCCAAAATCTCAGGGCCAACCTGTGAAAACAAATTAAGAAAGTTCATAAATTCTTCTACATATAGCTTCATCTCAGGGCACAAATCTTGCAATGAGCTCTTGCTTGACTACTTGATTACTTGATCTGAGAATTGCAGACATATCTAGTCAACCTTTTTATTAACCTCAGACATTCTGTTTGGATAGATACATTCAAGAACAACATCTTCTTTGTCAATGTCTCGAAAAGGCCCAACTTGGACCTTATTGTACATGAACTATATCAACTGAAGGGGTCCGAGCTGCCTGCTTTCCAAAACGAATTCATGGCAGTTAATTTGTTGCAACAATTTTTGAAGAAAGCAACAGACAATCCTCTGTTGTTTGTCCTGGATGACGTTTGGTCAGGATCAGAGTCCCTTCTTGATAAGTTTGATCAATTCAAGTTTTCAAATTACAAGATTTTGGTCACATCAAGATTTGCATTTCCGAGATTTGGTTCTCCGTACCATTTGGCATTATTGAATGATGAGGATGCAATGGCTCTTTTTCACCATTCAGCATCCTTGAAGGATGAGAGCTCTTATACTGCCGAAGATCTTTCGAGAAAGGTGATTTCTTAGTCTGCAATGCACATACATGCTTATTTATGCCTCAGAAGAGGGTAAAGAAATAACGTTGAGCGTCCACACATGTTAACACTTCCATTTACTGTCTCATAATAACAATTTTATCATCTTTACTGAAACATTTAGATGATTTACAACAATTTAATCAGATAATAACTGAATTCATTCGGGATAATTAAATTGCAGATTATGAAGCGCTGTAAGGGATGGCCACTTGCCATTGCATTGGTCGGGAGGTCACTTCGTGGCCAGCCTAAAGAAATCTGGCAGAAAAGAATACTGGAATGGAGCAAAGGTTCTTCCATTCTTGATACTGAAAAGGATTTGCTTGCTTGCCTCCAGAGCAGCTTAGATGCCTTGGATAAAGAAAAGACTATGATCAAGGAGTGTTTCCTCGACCTAGGTTCATTTCCCGAGGACCAAAGAATCTCTGCTGCCACCCTCATTGACATGTGGGCGGAGTTATATGGTCTAGATGAAGAAATTCTGACCATTGCCAACCTTCACGAGCTCACCACCCGAAGTTTGGCGAATCTTGTTGTCACAAGGTATGCACGCTGCTCATAATTTTCTATTCCAATATGTATACCGAACAAATCATGAAAGAAATTAGTATTGATCATCCAGGCATGAGAAGGAGGCGGATGGCTATTACACCGAACACTTCGTCACCCAGCATGACATGCTTAGGGAGTTGGCGATCCATCAGGTGATTCAAGACCCAATAGAACAGAGGAAAAGGCTAGTTATAAACATATGTGGGGACAACCTTCCTAAGTGGTTGACAGAACAAAAGTATCAAGCGTCCAAGGCTCGACTATTATCTATCTCAACAGGTTCCGTCAATCTCTATAGTAAATACGTCATCGTTATATATATAGTAAATACTTATACATGCACACAAGTATGTGCGCACGGACATGCTTGTGTGCACACACACTCGCTCATTCATAGTAAGACCTCAATAGGACTTCGGTACATTTAATTTCAACCCACACTAACATCTAAAAGCTTACGGTTTGCAGATGGAGCCTTCTCAGCAAAATGGCCAAACTTGCAAGTACCCGAAGCAGAGGTTCTAGTTCTGAATTTTCAAACAAAGAACTATGCCTTACCTCAGTTCGTGGAGAAAATGGATAAACTAAAGGTTCTAATAACAACAAATTACGGTTTGTCACCTGCTGGACTAGATAATTTTGAACTACTTGCTTCGTTATCAAATCTTAAGAGAATAAGATTAGAACGTATTTCAATTCCCTCCATAAGCAAGGTCCTCAAACCTGTGAAAAGTCTGCAAAAGATATCATTTTTCATGTGTGATATCGGTCAAGGTTTCAACGACTGTTCCATTTCAATCTCATCAGCATTCCCAAATCTAGAAGAAATGAACATCGACTATTGCAGTGATTTAATTGAATTGCCTGCCAGACTTTGTGATCTTAGTAAACTAAAGAAGCTCAGTATCACTAATTGTCATAAGCTATCTGCCTTGCCCGAAGGGATTGGAAAGTTGGAAAATTTAGAAATGCTGAGGCTAAGATCCTGCACAGAACTGTCGAAGCTCCCAACCTCAATGAAGAACCTTGGAAAGTTAAAATTTCTTGATATATCTGATTGCTTTGGCATAAAGGTGTTGCCCAAAGACATTGGTGAAATGAGTAGTTTAAGAAAGATCAATATGAGACAATGCTCAAGGTTGCAAGAGCTGCCTCCATCAGTCATGGATCTTGAGCAGTTAGAGGAAGTGGTCTGTGATGAACAGACAAAATATTTATGGGAATCTTTCTTGTCGTGTCTCAACAACGTAAGGATAATTGTGGCCAAAGAGAATATCAACCTAAATTGGCTCCAAAAGACTCAGTTCTGACACATGTTTCCTCAATGTACGTTGCTCTTAAACCTCTGTGTGGTTTGCGTTTTTTATGGGGCTTTTTAAACTATGATGTTTAGAGACCTTGGCTACTGTCCAGAAAAATGGTTTGGTAGGAAACAAAGAGAATGTTGTGATTCAAAATCAAGAAGGATTTCATGATTGGGGTCAGTTCCTGAACCTCCAATGTTACAGTTGGATTGGATGAGCCTTTGAGGGAGTTGAAGAAGACGGGAAAACCACATTGGCAATGAAATTATGTCAAGATGAGGAAGTCAAAGGTATGATAATACTTTCTAATTGCTTTTTATATTCTGAAATTCCTTATCCCCACTGAGGAAAGAGCTAACCTAACCAGAAGAGTTATAGTAGAATTAATCTGCAATTTTGACATCTTTTACTCTCAATTAGTACTAGTAGTATGCTATAGATGTCGTTCATTGAGTTGAAGCCTTTTGTACACTTAACAGCTTAGGTTATATATAACATCAAAGTTAATCCACAAATGTAATATTTCAAAGGCTCAAAAATCTTCTGAGAAAGATTTATTTCTCACTATGCAATCCACAACATACATACTTATCAAGTCTTCACAACAAAGTGGGGAAAAGAAATTGTTTTGATCTTTTACAGTAAGTATGCACATACAGAAGTGAACGCCCATTTTACCATAAGATTTTTCTTAAGAACTAAAACTGAAATAAGAATGAAGATGAGTAGGTAGTCATTAAACATTTTCACGAAACCCTTTAGATGTTAAAAGAAACTTGAAATTTCGGTATGCAACTCAGATGGTAAGCCTGCAGATACTAAACCTTTGTAAGGGAGTTCGGCTTGCCATTACAGTGACTGGGAAATCACTTCGTGGACAAGCTGCAGAATTCTAGTGTTCAAGACTAGCAGACTGTTGTAAAGGTTTTGTTGTTGGTTCTAAGACTGAGTTGCTTCTTTGACTTCAAAGTAGCATAGATGCCTTGGATGGCAAAGAGGCTATCATGAGGGAATGTTTCAGACCTTGTTTCATTTCCTGAAGATCAAAGAATCTCTGCTGCCGCTTTCATTGATACGTGGGCAGAGTTATATAAGCTAGGTGAGGACTTTCTGTCCATTAGGAACCTCCACGAACTCACCACCAGAGGTCTGGCACATCTTGTGATCACTAGGAACGCAAGCTTTTATGTTTCTCCTGTATAATATTCTCATTGAACATGTCTATATTCATGTGTAACTCCTCCCATAATATACAACTGTAAGTCTGCAACTGACTGAGTTTGGATTGTTACCAGGAAGGAGAACATAGAGATTCTGGATGACTACTACATCAAATACTTTGTTAGCCAGCTTGATATGCTTGGAAAGCTGGCTATCCACAGAGTGAACCTAGACTTGATAGAAGATAGAAAAAGACTGATTATCGAAAGTGGACACAATCAACCCAAGTGGTTGATGGAGCAGAAGTCTCAACCCATCAATGCACGCCTATTATCTATCTCCTCTGGTTGTCCCATCTTTCTCTTTATAAAATGCATATAGGTGCACATATGCACATCTACCTATAACCAGCACACGTACACACACACACACGTAGATATGAGCGGTTTAAGAAAGATCAACATGGGACAATGCTCAAGATTGGAAGAGTTTCCTCTGTCAGTGTGGGATCTTCACGAGCAGTTAGAGGAAGTGATTTGTGATGAAGAGAAGAAACATTTGTGGGAATCCTTCTTAGCCAGAGACAAAATCAAGGTGGCAAAAGAAAAAACCAATCTGAATTGGCTCGAAAAGCCTTAGCTGTTAGACCTGTCTTTCCTCGATAAATGTTGGAGCAACGTTTTTCTGATTTGTGTTGCATTGTTTTCTTTAGTTTGTATTTTCTTGTTGGATTTTTCTTGTTTGATTTCGTTCTTAGTTGTGTCTAATTTCGAAGTTTCATCACATCAATTTGTAATACTGTTTATATCAAATTCTCTTGAGTCTTAAGAAATTATGCGTTATTTTTCCTGTGTAATTATGATGTTATGGTTTTACCCAATATAAATAATGTGTATTATATTTTCTTGGATTATACAAAAAATGTTTTTTTACTGCACCTAATATGTAAATTATGCATTTAGTTATATTGACAAGTTTTCCTTTGTTGCTCACATAGATATATATTGAGATATTCTAAGTTGAGGTATATAATATTTTAATTTAATGGCGTTGTTATTGTTGATATCGTCGTTAGACCATCTCCAATTCTTGGGTCAAAACCCAAAATGTTTAGCCCACAGAATTTAGGTTTTTATCCAAAAACAGTTTTTTTACTCCAACCCTTATGAGTTAAATTTTTAGCTTGAGATTAAGAATGAATTTTGGCTATTTTTTCTAAATAACTTTTGGAAAAAAAATTAAGTAGACTATCCTAATTTAATTTTATGAACATTTTAACCTAAAAAGATTTAGATTTCGATAAGTATTGAAAAAAATTACTAAATCAACACCATGAAACTCATGAATACTATCAAAGAATATGAAACACACATGATAGAGATGTATAAAACATGAAACAAATGAAACATATATAAAACACAGGAAATACATGAAACATATGAAACACATAAAACACATGATAGAGATGTATGACACACGAAACACATACAAAATACATACGAAACACATGAAACACAAACCTACGCACACCATATTCTTCAATCATCCTCTTTATAAGCATAGGTTGAATACCTAACCATCACATAACATATTCACCAATCATCCATCTTTCATAGTGTTTCTGTTTTCTCAAAATTATCCAACTTTCATAGTGTTTTTGTTTCCTAAAAAATATCAATGGATGATAGAAGAAGGTGTAGCCTGGCATTGCAAATGGCAAGCAAATGTTGTGGTTGAGGAAGAAGAAACCAACAATGAAGAAATCAAATTTGCAAACTCACTTATGCAAAATGGGCAACATGCCGAATCTAGCTTTTATGGTTTTGTCACAGGCCATTCATTTGTGCAGCGTGACAGAAAAGAGTGTCATGATAGGATGATAAAAGGCTACTTCATCAAACATCCGAGATATCATCCTCATGATTTTTGGAGGCGATATCGGATGAGGAGAGAGCTTTTTAAAAGCATTTTGAATGCAGTTGTCCACTATGACCACTACTTTGCAATAAAGATAGATGTTATAGGCCGACAGAGTCTCACCTTATCAGAAGCTCACATCTGCATTTCGAATGCTAGCCAATGGGTGCTTTGCAGACTCATTAACAAATATTGTTGATGTGTAGCGATCACTGTTATTGAGAACATCAAGCACTTTTGTAAGGCAATTAAAGTCATATATGGACAAACATACCTCTGAAAGCTAAATCGTGAAGACTTGAAGAGGCTTCTACGTAAGACAGACAAAAGAGGCTTCTCTGGCATGATAGGAAGTCTTGATTGTATGCATTAGGAGTGGAAGAATTGTCAAATTTCTTGAGTAGGCCAATTTAAGGGCCGTCGCAACAAGACAACCATTGTGATCAAGGCTGTGACATCTTATGACACTTGGATTTGACATGCATTCTTGGACACCTTTGGATCAAACAACGATATCAATGTTATTTGGTTTTCTCCCTATTCGAAGATGTAGTCTATGGATGGCAACCAGAATGGAGGTACAAGGTAAATGGTAATAGACATGAGCTAGGTTGCTACTTAACTGATGATATTTATACTAGCTGGTCTACCTTTTGAAAAGTTATTTATCATCCCAATGGTGCAAAGATGAAATTGTTTTCGTGGAAATAAGTGTCTTACAAGAAAGATGAGAGATCGTTCGGATCCTACAAACTCGATGGGTCATTGTTAGAGAGGTTGCAAGATTCTGGAGTATGGAAGACCTCCATTCAATCATGAAGACATACATAATTTTGCATAACATGATTGTTGAAGATGAGTACGTAGAAATTGAAGAAGATTTTGATGAAGATGTGGATGACGACCAACCAATATATACTAAAGCAATGGCAAGAGACACTGAATATCTCGTTGCAACCACATATGAGACTCGAAAGGATAGGGTCACACTGAGTGAGTACATGAGATGTCTTGCTAGAATTCAAACTCCTCAAGTTCATGACACACTCGGAAAAGATTTGGTTGAGCATATATGGCATTGAGAAGGAGAACGGTGATTATAGACTAGCTTGTAATAAATTTAAGTATGCTAGTGTGGTTGTTTCCTTGTAATAAATTTAATTGTGCTAGTATGTTGGTATTTCCATATATTATCTTTCTTTGTTGCAAATAGATTTTTTTTTAATTTCAACAATTAATAAACCATAAAATTAATAAATCTTCATTAATAAGCTACATAAAATTAATACAAACAATAATTAATAAACTACATAAAATTAATTCAAACGATAATTAATAAACTACATATAAATTAATACAACAATTACTAATCACAATAATATTGACCATCTTGACTTGCTGGTGGATTTGGTGGTGGACTTGGGATATAGGCTTGAGATGAATTATCATCTTGAAAGGTACTCGTTGTGGCATTCTTTCACATAATTTCCTTTTGCTTATCACAGGAGAACTTCTTCATATTTGGAGTCTATTTGTTGAGGTTCTCCCTCATTATATCAAAATCGAATCTTTCTTGCTCCATTTCCGTTTGCTTCTCAAAGGCCAAGCACATTTGTATCGCTTCCTCCTCCTGAAAGTCTTGGTGTCCAGACAATTTTACAACTCTGGAAGAAATCGTTGCACCAATTGGATCTTGCATCTTCCCTTATCTCTTTACTTCTTTTTGTTTATCTCTTCCCGGGAGCCTTGGAAAAGAAGAAGTTGGGATCCTTCATTGCCAACATTTGTGCTTGCGTCTTCAATAGAAAATAAATTTTCCCCTTGTTGGTCTGCATCGGTTCCTCATCTCGGACAACCCTTGAGGACGTCCCAAGCATGATGCTACTAAAAAGTTTTTGGATGAATTTTGACTCAAATATATATATTTTTTAATTATTTTAGCTGTTGAATTTAAATTTGGACCGTTACATTTTTCTTTTTTTTACTGTTGGATTTGATCATATTAAATCTTATCTGTTGGAATCAATGAATTTATAAATATAAAACTAAAAAATAAAATAAATTTTAAACTTGGACTGCTGGATCAACCAACAATCCAATGAATCACTGTTGTTGGATGAAAGAAAGAGTCATTCGGCTCAGCTGGGTGGACGACAGACCCACGTGCACGTAATCACCTAATTGTCAGTCTTTCGCGCGTCACGTCTCGCTCTACACGCTCAGCCAATTTAGGGTGCGTCCACGCACACATGTGGGACCCTTTAAGGGTTGAAATGAAATGAAGAGGGAAAATACAAGATAAATTTTGAGACTTACTTCAAAAATTAGAGTGAGCCTTGTTGCAAAATTAAAATTTTTAAAATACAATCGGTGATAACTTTTCAAATATAAACCTGGTGGCCGATCGTAAGTGCAATTCTGCAAGTAGGAGGAATTGTTAAACATTAGTCATATGGAAAGGGATCCTTTTCGGATTCTTTCTTTCTAATCTATTAAGTTCAGAGATTCGGATCATTGAAATTTGAACTAATAACTACAAACAGAAGTAAACTTTAAAAGTTATAATAACTTTAATTGTTGAATCGAATTTGAATAGTCCAACTCCCGAATTTAATGGATTAATCCCTTCCCATACTGCTCATCGGCTCTCTATGCTGTGTCGCCTTTCGAAATTTGCCTTCACAATTTACTAGGATAAGAAGCAATATTTTCTGAGAAAATACAATTCTGGTCGCCATCTAGCTGCAATATGGTTGTTGGATTCTCTCTTTCGCTCTCACCATGAAGCTTCCCAGACATGGTGATGCAGTTTCCTGGTTAATTTCCAAGTCTCCCTCCACACTTAATCAGCTATTGCTTAAGTCAACGCGCTCCAACTCCGAAATTTCTATCGAGCTTCAAAGTAAGTATTTCTATGCCAACTCCCAGATGGTTTGTTTACCCTATCTTGCTTGATCACCAACAACGTAAGAGAATATCGAACTCTGTATTGCTTGTTTTCTGAATCTCCTTATTTTGGGTTCCAAGTTTAAAAGTGTCTCACTTTTCCACAGTTTCTAATCTGTTATTGTTTTGGGAAAGTGGGTAAAATGGTCCGAAATCAAATCGCAAATATCGAAGACATACTGAAAAACTGATCATTTCAGCAGCCAATTTCCCTGTTATTTTCTGTTGTCGTAAATTTTAGATTGAAACTTTGTAAGTTTTTCTGATTTTGGTGTTGGTTTTTGTTGTTAAGAATCAAGGAATGGGTGGAGCAAATGACCTTTTCGGAGGGGCTGGTCTCGGAACACTATTCAATGCGCTGTATGAGGGCCTCGAGGAGGTGATCGCCAAGAATCTAGTGTTTAAGCCCCTACTCAAAAACATCAAATTCAGGTTAGACTCTTTGGAACCATTGTTGAAAGATGTAGAAGAATCCAACAAGAA